AATTTTAGCTATATATTTAATGGAGATAAAGCATCAATAAGAAAATTTAAAAATTGATAATTTCGTACTCGTAATAATTATTTATATTATTTCGTACTCGATAATTGCGTATACATTTATTTTAAATGCGCTTCAAATTAACATTTATTATTTAGACAGTTAAATAAACTTATATATGGTCTTCATAAGGAATAATGTGCGTCGTCTATCTTAATGGTGCAAACTATCGTAATACACAAACTATTTTAATGGCAGATGTGATGACTTTCACATACCTGTCCAATAGAATCCGGCTTGCTCTTCAAAAACTTAAGTGTCTCTTCAGCAATATTAACGGGTCTTTTGGGTATCGATAATTCCTTTCCTATTAAGATATTATCCTCAATTCTAAAATCGCGGCTATCGTTGTGACACTACGAAATTACATTAGACATGTTTAAATGCGATTCTCGATTAATAATCAGATGGAAATTAACATGTTGATATTTTTCACGTAATAACATGGAAGAAATTATGTGGTAAGTGTGCAAATGTCGAGATAGATTAGAAATTAACATATATTGACAAGCTTATAAACAATAAATTTCCAGGTCACAGTAAATGTAGAAATGATCAGTTGAGTCTTAATTATAAAATTTTTTATAACAAAATATACTTCCTACATAATTATTCTAAAACATTTCTTACCTTGTTATTAATTTCTAAATTACACATGTTGATATCGATTTTATAACAGTTACTGTCTCGTTTATTTTTGTAACAACCAAATGCGCACTGACAGCTGATTCGAATTGAAACCTAGATGATATCCTTTTTATGTTTTAATGCTTGCCACTATAAAATTTAAAATGTGAATTGAGGACCCTCGCGGACGCGATACTAAAAGAAAGAGAATTGGCTTGAGGTGAACGTATTAATGTGGGCCCAGAAACCACCTTGAGTAGGAGAAGGGGCACTGCATTTAGTGGGGTAATCTTGTCGGTACATTAAATTCGTATTATATTATCTCAGCTACTGTAATCTGGAAAATGTTATCTAAATAGATAATTTCTCAGATATTTACTGTTTTCCCCCGGGTACTTTCCTACAAGTAATGAATAAGAGATTATACAAGTTCATATAATCATACTGTGGTCGATGGAAGGAGAGTGTCGTATCATAAACGATACATATCTATCAACCAGATACGACATAAGGTCAGATTGAAATCAATATTCAAACTGAAACTTTATCTAAAAACTAATCACGACAAATAATTAGAGTTTTCTTCGAGCACGAATGGTACGTTATTAGAAAAAATAAGATAGAAAAAATAAGTTATTTTAAATTAAATTAAATTTAATTTAAATTTAATTTAAATTAAATTTTGTATAACGAATAGATCAGTAAAAATAAAAAAATAATGGGGTTAATCACTTATTTTAATATATAAATAATATATTTTACCGTAGGTTTTAAATAACTGGATAAAAAAAATTTATATCTTAAAGTTTCAGTTCTTTCTAGTAATAAATAACGCCAAGAAATGTGTGTATTTTAATTGCTTTATTATATAAATAATACTATAAAAATGAATAATACTATATACACATAATAGTGTTATAATCGTGAATATTATTAGCGCTGCCGAAACGCTTCACGAAGAACCGTTTCGACCGCGCGAGGCAGCGAATGCGCAAGTGCTGCGCTAAGCATTACCTTGTACATTCCACGCCTCGGACTTTGAACCGGGACGCACCGGGCTATTACCAAATTTGGCAACTTCCTTATTGCCAAGGCACCTCCTCCGATAAGGCTAATCATTATTATAAAAGAGCGGAAAAAACATCTTCTCGAACGGTACCGCGCTCGAAAGAATTCTTCCTCCGGCCTCTCGCCCGCGACGTGCGTACCTGTCGCACATCCCGCGTGTGAATATAAATTTCGGGAGTTAATAAATTAACTTTATTGTAAAGAATACTAGTTTATTTAATAAATAAAGTTATTTTACTACACATTCGATAACCATTGATCATCCCACTGCCACACACCCTGCCGCGCCCGCAATATCGACTCCGAATCCTTTTCTCTCGCGTCCCATCGAAAAGGGGCACGACAATAGTCTTTTAAATAATTTAGTTGGCGTAACTTTTCGCCAGTAGTTTCAGCTTTTTCTTATCAATTTTCCCAGTACTGATTCGCGGAAAATCATTCACGAATTTGATACCTGCTTGAAGTTTGCAATACCACGGTAGATTCTTATTCACTAAATCATGCAATTCCTCCTCCGTTACCTAAAAGAAAATAATTTTATCATTTGTCAATGAAAAATTAGTGTACGTTTTATTACTGATAGTTTTATTATATTTTTTATCATCATATTATTTATTATCATATTTTTCTAACATAACTGTATGATATCGCACAATTACGATACGTAATGTCTCACCTCTTTTTCGACTACTTTTTGAACGAAAGCCAGCGGTAGTTCTATATCCGTTTCGTGTGGTACTGGAACCACTACGGCCTTGAGGATCGAAGGGTGAAGCTCGAGTACCCCTTCGATTTCCGCCGATGACAGTTTAATGGCTTTGTAGTTGATGAAATCCGAAATCCTGTTGACGAAGAAAATCTCGCCGTTTTCGTCGTAATAACCGATATCTTTGGTGTGCAGCCAACCTGTACATACACGTACCAAATCACTTTTACATTTTTTAACACATCGAACACGTGAATGTTCACGTTATATCTAGATCCAGATAAAGTATCTTTTGTATGTAAAGTATCAGAGTGTCACTATGGCGAATATCATTTTGCTAGTCGAAGTACTGACCGTCCGAATCGAAGGCTTCCTTAGTTTGCTCCGGATTTTTGTGATAACCTTTCATCATAAATTCTGACTTGATACAGATTTCGCCCCTCTCTTTAGGCCCCAAAGCTATACCGGTTTTTTCGTCGGCTATCTTGATTCGTATGCCTTTGGTCACGAAACCGCAGGAACCCGGCTTGCTATTTTTTGCTTGACTCACGCACAAGCCGCCAGCATCTGTCAGTCCTGAGGGAATAAGCGTGCGTTCTCACCATAAATCAATGTAATAACGATGTTCCATGTCCGCGACAAATTTTCCCTCGACGAAACGAGATACAATCGTAACATTCGTGTTATTTTTTTCAAGCTATCGGATAACGAACTCGATGATTTTTTTCCATTCAATTAAACTTACCGTAACACTGCAGAATTTGCGTATGTGGCATAATTTTCGCAACGGTTTCGTGAAGTTCCTTCGTAAAAGGTGCCCCAGTAATGACCATTTTTCTCAAAGACGGCATAGGATATTTTTGGAAAATATTCATTTTGACATAAAGTATGGCGAAATTAGTATCAGTTCCAAGCCATGTTACCTAATAGAATTACACATTATATAGTCGTGAAAAATTGCCTTTAATAGCATTAGATAACTTTATATGATTATGACTTTATATGAGAAAAGCGCACGTTCCAAAGTCTACACTGAGAAAAATACTTGAAAACTTATTTGCGCGACATAAAGTTCATTTGTGTGAATAAATGTTATATCCCATAAGTAAAATTTCTTCTCAGTATATTAGGAAACGTTTACATCGTTAATTAAGGCCTCGTTTGAACACGACAATTTATATGGAAGAATTAATACTGATTATGAATGACTCCGCATTGTGTACGTTAGGTTAAAAAATTTGCTCCACAACTCACTCCGTGTTTCTGAATGATCTCGCAAAGCGCGATTTCCTTGATATTATCATCCGAAAAAATGATCCACTTAGCGTTCGACATAATGACTTCGATGCATTGATTGAGTCCGCCGTGCCATCGTATCGTGGGCACCCAGGCGCATATCTCGTTCTTCGCGTGAACCTCCTCGACAGGAGTGATGCTGTTATAAAGAGACGCGTAAGACAGCTCGGTTCCTTTCGGCATACCCGTGGTGCCGGAAGAACTACAGATCATCGCCAAGTCGTGGGGATTATCGATTTTCGTGCAGCGGAAGCCGTCGATCTCCGCGCGGCTGACCTGTTCCTCAAGAATGTTCGCCAGGGACACGAACCCTGGCAGACTGCCGATAACCATAACTCTCACTTGGAGATTTTCCTCCTTCGCGGCTTCCATCAGATTCTCGGCGGATTCCTCGTTCACGAAGACCACCTTCGGGGACATCAGTGAAAGGAAGTAACGCGCGGATACTGAAAATATGTACATTTTAATTGTTTGACGGGCAAATCTCGACGCGCATTATTTCCTCGCTAGACGCATTTGAGAAATCATGTGTTAACGATCGCACGTTTTATCGACGACACCGTGATATCTGCGCGATTGTTTTGATAACGTCATTCAAATAGCTGATAATCAAACTGCGCATATGGTTGTATAAAAAGTGACGTACATTTCGACACCACGTGATCCCACGGACATATTATCCCACCGATGTATAGAATTGCCAATACCGGTACACATGTGTTCAAGTGATTCTCAGTTAATATGCCAATGTTGTCGCCTTTCTGGATGCCGTGCTTTCTTAACCACAGAGCGCACTTGATGCTCCGTTCTCTCATTTCCGCGTAAGTGCATTCTTTTCCGGTGAAGGCGTCTATCTGAGCATTCGACAAAGATCTTCACAATCACACGTTAAATAATTGCTGGACGAATTGTGCGAATTAACGGTTAATTTCAATCAAAGAAATCACTTGAAGAATAGATTCACATGTAAATCACTTCTTCTGTTTCTTGAATGTTAAAAGATTAATATTTATAGCTCGTTAATGCACTGTGAGAGGAAAAATATCTAAAAGGTAAAAAAAATTATTATTAAAAATACTTAAAAATAAAATTTTTATTATTTATATAAATAATACTTTCGTAAAAATATATTTATTTCTTATTGTTATAATAAAGATACTTAATATGACAATATATTTACTTTCCAATTTAAATTTTATTACTTAAATAGAATAAACAATTGCTTTAATGAAAAGTTTAGATTCTAAAGAGATGCATGTTTTCTTGTTTTCTTATTATGAAAATATTATATATTAGTATAAGTATGTTGTTAGTAGCCATCGAATAAGTATATTTTATATTCTTTAGATATTTCTTCTCTCCACAGTGTGCGAAAAAAATTGCGGGTAATCCTTTTACTCGTTCATCTATCACTCCGTAAGTTCCTAGCCGTTTCTAAGTTCATTTCCTTGGTTCCGCTCAGCTTAGCTTAATTGAAGCTTACGGAGCTACGGATGCGATAGAGCCTAATCAATCATAAGATTTTCATGTGACGGTACCTGTCCGACGAAATCCGGCTTACTGCTTAACCTATTGAGAACCAGTTCGCCGACGTTCGCGCATACCGGATGAGTTTCCCCCGTGCCAATCAATACATTCTCCTCGATTCTGAACGACGGTACATACTGGGGGAAGGCAAGAGTGGATATGTACACCGTGACAATAATTTTACTGACGGGACGAGCGTCACTTCGCCGAGTCTATCGATAACACGTCCTTACCTCGTTGGCTTTTTCTCCGCTGCTCGTCATTATGTCAGTAAAAGTCTCTCTCTCTATTCGTCTCTCTCGACAGCTTTAGTCACGTAGACGGTCATGCAACGTACCAACGCGCGAATATATATATGCTGTAACGCACGGAACAATCGGGAACACGTCTTCACAATACAAGCTCTTTATTGCACGCACAAAGATACAATGGCGAAAAGGAAAAGTAACACGTAATTACTGGTGAACAGATAACGAACGACTATACATATATATATATATATATATATATATATATATATATATACGGAAACCCGTGATAAGCAAAAACGTACGACGAGGAAAAGTCACGTAGTATCTAAGGGCTCCGTTAGATGTGTCTGAATGGTAACAATATCGATCAAGTTATGGATCGCGTTTCTAACACACGCCATCTTTTACGACAAACTCTTATCGGTGTGTGTTTCACCACTATACTGAGAATGCTGAGTAACTGGAATCAATTTATCAATCGGTCGTCAACGAATCACTGCGGTCGCGCAGCTGCAATATCTGATAGTGCAAAAGCCGAAGATGACTGTGAACCCTCGAATGACGTTGGAGGTTCTCGCACGAAATACCGGGGGGATGTAATCTCCATGGTCCAGTGCGTGTATTCGTTCCGCGAGCAGTCTTAATTCAACGATCCGTATTAATGTCAATTAACTTTCGCAAATATTTAATTTCGAAATACACCCGCGCGCCGCTCGGGACGCGCGACCGAACCGGGATTATTCCGGCATTTCCGTTGGACGGCATAATAAATTTATGATGTCGCGGGGGTTCCCGTTCGGCGGTTTGCAAAATGCATTCGCGCCGGGCGATAAAAATACGCTTACTGAAACGGGGTTGCATTTGGGGCGTGTTGTGTGCATCGCGTCGATTCGACGCGGCGATAATTTATCGTTCACCGCGTCGCAACGGTGAAATTTTTCCGCTGCGCACTCGCCGCACCACTGTCCAACCCGACAATGCTGACAAATGTCGTTTCAGACGCCGCGGGGTGACGAGCCGGTGTCAATGTACGCTTGTCGGAATGGAACCTTGCCGGGCACGCGCGCACGAGTAAAATTTCCACGGGAAATTCTCGATGTTTTCCCATCACGCCAGATAATTCAATAGTAAACACCAGTCCGGCCGCCACGAGAGATCAGTTGAAGTGGCACGGCAAGAAAACAAAGAGTACTTAACGAGCTCTCTGCTTAAGATAGCTGTAGATAATAGTGGAATAGCTGCCGATACGCAATAAGGAGATTGAAGAGACTCGGTTAAATCCTAGAGTACGTTGGTAGAGTAAATGGCGGAACATTGACGTCACAACCACGATCACGTTATAAAGATTATCTGTCAAATAGTTCATCCTCTCTAGTAGCGTGACCGACCGTTTATTACCAGTTACGATGCACTCGCTGAGAAATTTGTGGGAAGTGTGAGTCTTTTAATACGACCGCTTATGTACGAGTTCAAGGCTTGTCGAGCTTCAAGGCGGAATCTCGATGCTGTTTCGAGGTGATTACGGATATTCTGCAGTGTTTTAATGTCTCCGCACGGAAAGAATACTACAGTTCTTTTTTTTTTATATCAATTCTTTTTGATTGTGCTATTTGTTTCTAGTAGTGCAGACCTTCAGTAAGTTTTTTTTTAAACGGTTCCGATAGTTTCAAAAAGAAAAGATTGCGAGGTAAACATCCATCTCTTTCATGCAAGCTACCATTTAATAATTAATACCTATAAAATAATTGAAGAAAGCTTTTCTTGAGGAAAATTATCTTGAATTTTTTATGAAAAAGAATTTTCTTCAATTTTTTTGCAAATAGTGGCTTGCATGAAACAGACGAATATTTACCTTACAGCCATTTCATTAAATTGTCGGAAACACAGTCTCAAAAATCGTAAGAATCGTCACGCTGAAGATCCTGTATATTATCTTTTGGATTTCCCCTGATTGAAGGAATCAAATCTTATCAGGTCTCCGGCGTTCACCGTCTCGTCAACAACGACATTATGTTATCGTTTTAACGATAAATCATTTCCCAATCTGCAACGCTTGTCGAGAATCAATAACGATAATGAAGCATTACCTTAGCTGCGAGCTCGGTTAGTGCAACGCCCTTGCCGATCGCTGCGTTATCGGTTTTGCGTTAATCAACCGTGCCGAGTCTCATTATCACATGCGCCGTTGTATCATTAATATTTCCGTTTCGTATAATATTACATAATTCCGTGAATTCTCAGAGGTGCGAGTACGGCACAGACACTCCTACACATTAAACCTCAGAAACGTTTCACTCGAACACGTCTGATTGTGAACGATTATACGCGACGAGATACCGATTGCTCATGATACAAATCGATGTCACAATCTCCCAGCGAGGAATTTCTATATGCCGATTTGCTGACTCGCGATACGCGGGACGATCTACGTTTTCGTCGGACTAGTGCCAAGCTTAGAGCACGAATCCCCTCCTCGTCGTTATCTCGTGATTTTATCGCTAGATAAAATCATGTCGCTATTTTCTTCGCTGCTCGGGGAACAGTCGCGCGACACACTCGCAGTAGTCACGCTGTTGAATTTCCAGTGAGATTACAAGAAGTCCGAGAGGGCTTCCATTCGAATAGACGTCAGCCTTTCTCAACGGCAACGCCGTGAAATTTCATATTTCTCGCACTCGTAACCGCATACTCGTTTTTCTTCGATACACCTCGGCCTTCTTATATTCGCTTTGCGGTTGTGCCTATCTTCTTTTACACACCGGGCGATATCTCTAGCGGGATGACTATAATTTCAGCCAGATCGAATATAAAGCCAGGCCGAAATTCATCACGCGGCTAGTTTCACCTCGTTACATCCGCTCGTCCGTCGCGCAATTAGTCGATAATATTGAGAGACAAATCGAGGTGAACTTTGCGAAATTTCGCTGCAGTAATGTCGCTTCGACCTTTCCTCTTATCAATTCCTTCGAATGCGATGTCGCTGATGGTAGCACGTGATCATGTCTCAAGCGGATCCAACATTCTCGCGAACGTCTGGGAAAGTCTTTTCGATTTCCCTGCACCGGCTCCATCAATCCCCCTCGACCGTCATCCCCGCGATAGATTTATTTTATCTCTAAAAGACGAGAAGTTTCTTTTAGGCAAAATTTTCTTAAAATTCGTGCACGAGGATCTTTGGGCTGACGAATCTGTGGATCGCGAATCTGAGATCAGAATTGCAAAATTCAAAATACCGGAACCAATCATGATGGCTCAAAACAGCGATCTTCTCAAAACAATATTCTTCGGACAATTTACACTACGATATGTTCATGTTTGTGCAGGTCCATATGGTTTATAATGTTCTACTATATAAGGGAGATCAATAAAGAAAGAAGGAAATCGACATGTTTTAGGTTCATTTCCCTGAGCACATCCAAATCTAAAGATTTTCTATGAGTTGGTTTTCATCAAACATTAACAATTTAGATTAGAGTAAGTATGCTGTTAGCACCCCCAACAAATAAATATTTATCAATCTTTAAATATTTTTTTCTCTCAGTGTATTTTCAAATATATTTACATAATATTAAATAAAAATGTTTCAAAGTTTCGCACGTTTAATTTGCAAACTTTTAATACTCAAAAATTGCAAATTTTTATACTCAAAAGAGAGATGGAGAGAAAAGCGCAGAAGGAAGAAGGAAATGAAAAGAAAAAGGGAAGCACGTAGCGACGAATGCCGCGGTTATACTTCCGTACAGTCGTCTTCAAACGTAAAACGCCGCGCGCAAAACTGCCACGAAGTTTTAATATTTGCTCTACAGCGCGTTTAGTCTGACTACTGCTCGTCGCCCGACAAGAGATAAACTCGACTAAGTGTTCGCAAGTAAGCGCGCGGCTCGAAAAGAAGCGCGCCGAGATAATTTCGTTCTCGTCCAACCTTAAAATCAAAGTGGTTCCGCAGACCACGGGCGGCGGAATTAAATAAGTCAGATTTAATGAAATTATTGCGGTTCACGCCGAACTAAAGCCATAAAACGACCATCGCGTCTCGCGAGGTGGTTGTCCAGCCATGATGAGAATAAAACGTTTCGCGACTTGTATTTCTTTGCATTCACTAGGCGACCATATTGCGCGTTTCAGATGGTCTTCTTTAACCTCTAAAAGACGAACGGTACCTCATATGGTAACATCTTTTTTTTCAATTATCAATCGAATCGCATTAAAAATCCTTGTACACAAGGTTTTCGATGTCGCTGATCACGAATCTGACGTAGAAATTTAAAAATTCAAAATAGCAATTCCAATATAGCGACTGAAGTCGATGGTTTTTTGTAATTTTAATTTTATATTCGTCATTTTTTAGCAGACAGTTCTTTTCATTTCCTTCTTCCTTCTGCGCTTTTCTCTCCATCTCCCTTTTGAGTATAAAAATTTGCAATTTTTGAGTATTAAAAATTTGCAAATTAAACGTGCGAAACTTTGAAACATTTTTATTTAATATTATGTAAATATATTTGAAAATACACTGAGAGAAAAAATATTTAAAGATTGATAAATATTTATTTGTTGGGGGTGCTAACAGCATACTTACTCTAATCTAAATTGTTAATATTTGATGAAAACCAACTCATAGAAAATCTTTAGATTTGGATGTGCTCAGGGAAATGAACCTAGAACATGTCGATTTCCTTCTTTCTTTATTGATCTCCCTTATATAGTAGAACATTATACAGGATCATCGAAAAGTATCGGACCCCCCTAATATCTTCAGTTAGAATGCATTTTGGAGAAAATGTCCAATAGCAAAGTTGTATGGTTTCAAGCGGGGAGTAAGATGATGACTTTGACTTTGACCTTGACCATGTCCTTCAAGGTCAACCTTAGGGACAGGGACGACCTAACCTCCCTTTCTCCTTTTCGCAGCGCCTCCGTCCCCGTTCACCTTGTCGCAGCGCCCTCATGCAGGCGCTTTGGCTGCCCTCATCTCAGACTTCTAATGTCTGGAGCAGGAATGTACAACCCAACACGGGGAAATAGGTTACAGCGCGAGAATAATAGCAGCAACATGCATATAAGACCATCATCATTGACGTTATACCAATTACTAGAGAAAAGATTTCTTTGACACCAATTTCTTTTGCTAAAAAACACAATTGTGATATTATAGTTATACAAATACCAAAATATATTTCCCATTGTACCCACGTACACACACACACACACACACACACACAAGTAACATTTCATGAGTTCTGAACAGATAGAGATAAAATCACATAGTCTCTGCGACGATGAAATTTTCCCAAACGTCACCGCGTGCACGAGGAATAATCGCTTTGCGTGCAAAATACGTTTTAATTCCAGCACGATGAAGCTCGGGTTATCCGGACTTAATCGCGGAACGTAACGCCCCGAGTAATCGAACGATTACATTTTAATGCGAGAAAAGATCACGTATTTCGCGATATTTTTGTGTTTTCAATTCGATTGGCAGAACGAGACGTTGGAATAATCCGAAACAAAGTTTTCGAATAATCCAGATTAAACCGCGTACCATTTGCTATTACGATGCGCATTGCAACGACAATCGACATTAATTATGCAAATGCGTAAATGGACGATGGAGAACTTTAACGCGCGTTTATCAGCCATTCGCGCTCGTAAATATGTAAAATTCGATGGAAGGTATAATTCATCGGCATTGAATCGCCTTGCGTGCGTTATATTCGCGTGCGCGCTCTAAGTGCTCGTTAATGCAGTCGCCCGTTGTATTACGCGAACGTTGGCCCACGTTCTCGTCAAATGAGAGTACGCTTTTATCCAACCTTGCTCCTCTTCTCCCTCTCTTCTATCGAACACGATCGGGAGACGCAGAGACATCTCAAAAATAAATACGCATCATGATTTTTGTCAATAACCATTTATTTATGTCGACCTGATAAAGTGAAGTAAGTGATCATTTAAAAAAGTTATGGTGTCTATTCACTTTTGTGATGTCTCTATATCTCTCTCTCTTCCTCTCCCTCCCTCCCTTCCTCCCTCCTTATTTCTCTCTCTGTCGCAGTATCACGCGGAGTTTCTGCCGCTTCGTCGAATTTCTCTTTTTGATGCACACACCGTGCTGTATCGCGGTACTCAGAGACGTACGTACGTACGTAATAGGGACGACATAACGTGAATGTCCTGCGACGAGAAAATTCGCTCCAACAATGGCAAGCGAAATAGACGAGCGGGACGTTCGGGAAATCTCTTCGGGTTTCGTTCTAACGTTTTGACGAGGGTTCTCGCCCTTTCGTGATTGTAACGATACTTCGTATCGCGATATCTCTACGCCGTTCACGATGCCCATTTGTATCTGGCGATAACCAGCGACGCGGAATAAGTACGCGGACCTCTTCCAGAAAAATGTGTCCCAGAGATAATGCTATCTCGCGCGCATACACACTATTTGTCGGTGGCGTTTGTGCGCGATTTTATCGTGCTGCATTTCGTACGCATCGGGAGAACGCACATGTACGTACGTACGAATCTATATTCGTTTCTCTATCGAAACATTATAGCGCCCGATAGTATAATACCATATTAATTGGCTTGTCATAAATGCGGAGCGATATGTATTCTAATGTATCGTTACACACTATCGTAATATCATATTTCATCGATAATCACCTAACGAATACGCGTGAGCCGAGCATGCGTGTGCGTTGAAACGAGGCTCTACGAATATATGTAACAGGAGGATAATATTCTGCTTGAAATTGTATAAAATTAATTTATTAAAGAGGCATCGCGAACAATATTATTATTGCGCGTGTCGAAAAGAGCGAGAAATACTGAAGAGGCCTTGAAGAACGATATAAATACGCGATATTCGGTGATGCTTGAAGTAATGCGACATTTCTCAGTTCGTCGCGTAACTCTTGGCAATTTGTTTGAGCTGCTTCTTGGCGATCTTTCCGGTGGCTGTGCGAGGCAGCTTCTCCATGAATTTAACTCCCGCGTGTAGCCTGCAGTACCACGGCATGTTCTGCTTCACCAAGTCGGTTATGTCGAGCTCCGTCACCTGAAATTTACGTGAGAAATTGTAATGTAACGTACGTAGGGCAAGACGGTGAAACTTAGGGTTTGCAGTAAATTGAGACCGTACGCGCGCGCGAAAGCGGGCTAATCCTCTTTTTAGCGAGAAAAAAGAAAAAAACGTGAGATTTATGTAGGGTCAACTTTCTCCTTGAGGAAAATTAACCACCAAACGAAGCGCATGCATCACTTCGAATATTATACACAAAACATTTCGGAGAAGATATTCTCCCCTAAAAAGGAAAAGAAATGTAGAACACACAGTTACAAATCTCGCGTACAAATGTTAAAATTTCACATGTTATCTATTTTTATTTCAATGTAAAATATTATCGATATGGTATTATTTTCGTGATGTTTCAATGTGTTATATCAATGTCAACTTAATACTTTGACGTTTTTTTGTAAGTCACCTAGAAATAGGATATTATTTTGAATTTTTTTAATGCAATTATTAAAAAAATGACATTTCTTAAAATCACTTTAATATTAACAGTAATATACCACAAATGAGTTATTTTTACACAAAATTTAGAGTGGATTTTCTGGAACGTGTAAAAAATGTTAAAATCAACATTTAATTTTTTATTGTACACGGAGATAATTCGGTAAGAATAGAGAACAAAGTCGAAGTCGATTTCAACAATTCAAAGTCAATGCGGGAGTGGGAGAAGATCTCAAGCGTCAATTAAAAATTCGCGATACAGTCGACGAACATTCGAGTTTGTATCACGGGTCTCAATCGGCCGAAGCGATTACCTCTTTGCCGGGCACTTTCGCGACAAAAGCCATAGCATGTTCCTCATTGATGTTGTGCGGCACCGGCACAACGGCGACTTGGAAGACTGCGGGGTGTTGCTGAATCAAAGCTTCGATTTCCGCGGGCGATATCTTGATAGCTCTGTAGTTGATGAACTCCGACATTCTGTCGACGAGGAAGACTTCCCCGTCGTTGTCGTAGTAACCGAGATCGCCGGTATGTAACCACCCTAAAATTGAAATGCTTTAGATAGTAATAGACGTGTGAGAGTATTGCAGTTTTTAATCATCTTACAACGCGATACACTATGCTTCGATATCAGATTTTAACGATCCGATTAACCCGATTACCACTACATACGCAGTTTGATCTTTACAAGAAGTGTTCTCTAAATTTCTTGAAGCAGAGTCTCGCTCAAGGCGAGTGACAATATTCACTCGTAAAGTCAATTATTATTATATTTGGTGAAAGTAATTTTAAAAAATTTACTTGCGAGGGTTAAATTTCGATATCATTGCGTTAAGTAGAAAAGAAAAAAAGGACAAGACGACAGGCATAAAAGAGGGAATGATATTTTGGAATTAAAACCTCCGCTCTTGGTCCCAAACAATAGCAAGTGTCGAACTATTTCACGCTTACCGTCCGAATCGAGAGCTCTCCTCGTGGCCTCAGGATTGTTGTAGTATCCATTCATCATGTACGACGATTTGGCCCATATTTCTCCGGTTTTGTTGGCCCCCAAGACCTTTCCCGTGTTAGGATCGACCACTTTCAGCCGTCCTGTTTCGCACACAAATCCGCAGCTGCCTGGTTTACTGTATTTCGTCTGACGGGCGCATAATCCACCATAATCCGTCATTCCTGCAGACAGTCGGTGCAAAAACCCATTGCCATTTTCCCTCGTGTCGCGCATACGTACACATATATACACGTGTGTGTATTTCCAATAAAACACGGTAACTCCCGTCGGTTCGCGGGATAATCAGGTCGCGAGCAACCGAACGATACGTTGATAGCGAGTTATCACGCGGCCTTGCGATCCCGATAAGTCCTTCCCCGACAACTTACCGTAACTCAGTATGACATCGGTGTGCGGCAAAAGTTTCACCAGCGTCTGCTGCAGCTCCCCCTTGAAATGCGCGCCGCCGAACAAAAGGATTTTCAATGTTGGTAGTCGGTACTTGCTTAATACGCCGAACTTCACCAGCCGAATAGGGAAGCAGGAATCGCATCTAAACCAGGATACCTGAATGCAAAACGACGCCGTTAAACTCGAACGCTCCCGCGGTATTACTACCCGCACGAGGCGATAAATCACGCGGGTACAACTATCGCGGCCCGTTGTAGACGCGCCTCAATTCGGGCTCCGGTGTTATCCTTTAGCAAATTCGTCGTGCGACATAAATTAACACAAATTAACGCGGGCGCGCGAGCGAGGCGTAATATCGAGCGATGGGCGAGAAACACACCGCCCTATCTTTCGCAAGGATATCCTCAAGTAGTAGAAGTAACGAGCGCGAGCGAGCGGAGGTCGCTTACGGAGTGCGCGGATAAATCAGGCCGACATCGTCGAATATATTAAATTTTATCTCCGCTGCATAAACGCGCGATTAATCTCCGCCACGACGAGAGTCGCGTTGGAAAAACGCGTCGATTCGCTTCGCGAGTTGAACCCGAAATCAAATCGATCTGTTACCATCGAAATCCTTCTCTCTCTCTCTCTCTCTCTCTCTCTCTCTCTCTCTCTCTCTCTTTAAAATTGCAGGCGCGTAATCACTATTATTCACCGGCGCCACCGACGATCGTTTTATTAATCCGCGTCGCTGTTATCGACGAGCGCGAGCGTTAAAGAGCCGCGATATCACCGAGAGCCGGGCATTAACGCGCGATCAATCGATCAATCGATTGGTTTATTCGCCAATTCCCATGGACAACGCCGTCTTTCTTTCTCTCTCTCTCTCTCTCTCTCTTATTCGCACTCACTTCATACTTCTCGATGAAACGACATAGGCCCTCGTCGTCGTCGTAATCTGGCACGATAATTCGCTTGGAGCAATCCAGAATCGCCTTGATGACGATAAACAGGCCGCAATACCATCGCATAGACGGCGTCCACATGGATACGTGTCCCTTGAGATCGTGGACCTTGACGTGGGCCATGTAATTGATCATAGCCGCGTGACTGATCTCGGTGCCCTTCGGAAAGCCACTAGTGCCCGACGAGCAAACGATCGCAGCAACGTGCTTGGGGCTGGTGAGCTTCGCACACTCGAATTCGTCAATCCACGCGGTGTCCTGGGAACGCAGGACAGCCGTCAATGTTGCGGCGCGTCCGACGAATCCGGCCGAGTCGGCGAACACCACCAGCCTGGTATCCATGTTGTTCTCTTTGACGACCTGCGCCAAGCACTCGGCCGATTCGCCGTTTACGAACACTATTTTCGGCTTCGTCAGCGAGAGAAAATAACGCGCGGTCACTGAAACCGGAGAAATCTTGCGTGAATATTCCCGCGATAGCGCCGTTGCGCACGTGTGAAAAACACCACGGAGTTCCGCTATTTTCGCTGTCATATTTGCGCGAATTAAAACGGGAACGTCCGTCCGACGTTCGGATGGACAACGCTTCGAATTCGCGGCGAGGGATGAAAGGCCGTAAAAGCGCGCACGCCGCGGGTGACTATCTCTCCCGCGCTAGTACGGCTTTTTTTATGCTGCGTGACGTCGATTGATTAAAACAAAAACACGCGCGCGAGCGTGCGTGCGTGCGTGCGAAAAGAACAACATGAAAACAACGCGGGTACGAATGTTTCGCAACAATGTCACTTTTGGCGCGAATTCAGATCCCGCGTCGGAGCGCGGTGTGGCTTTTTTTTAAATGCCTGGCGCGCGGAGGTGGGAAACGCGAGAAAACGAGGCTGAAGTAACGTACTTGGAGAAAGTTCGTTGTCCCATGGGTTGCTAATGGCGCCGAGATAGAGTGCCGCGAGCAACGGCACGTATGACTCCAGATGATTGTGAGTGCAAATGCCGATTATGTCACCCGGCTGAACACCCTGCTCTCTCAGCCACAGCGCGCATTTTACGCTTTTCTCCGTCATTTCTGCGAAAGTGGTCTCCGCGCCGGTAACCGCTTCTACCTACGCACAAGGGGGAGATTCACGATCGAGCGTGAGGTTAAGTGGCGAATTTCAGGGGAGAATTTATGTTAAAATCGATCGAACGAGACCTGTCGTCCCGCGGGTACGCGAGTTTGCATGTGCAAGCGGCTGTGTGTGCCCATTTACCTGCGCAATAAACTCCGGTCTACTCCTCAGCTTCTCCAACACTAACGCTCCGACGTTCGTGCATTTCTTGAGGATCGGCGCCTTTTCGCCAATCAAAATGTCGTCCTCTATTTTAAACGTCAAGTCACCCTAAAAGGATATACGACGATAATTAGTCTGCAGTCGTAAATTATGTTTTCGCGTACAGAAAAAATAAGAATATCTTTATTGTTGACATTTTAAAAATAAGGTTAAAATGAGATTATATGGCGTTGAGCGAACATAAATTAGTCTCGAGTTAAAACGAATATAGTAAAATTATTACAATCATTTTTTCTCATATATAAGCAAGAATATTGTAATACTCTGTGAAAAAAATATAAAATTCTCAATAGATCCGAACGTGACACGTTAAGATCCGTATGAATGACATTGACGATTCGAAATTTTAACAAATCGTTGCATACGTATCATGACTTATCCGTACCTTGTCGGTGATATCTTCGTGCTTCAAGTTCACCATCGCGAGACTAGAAAGGAGAGCTCGACGCGCTTGAGAAACGACAAACTGCGGAAATTTGTAAAATCAACTAAGCCATACCTTCACTATTTATACGCTTTTATTCAGCGTGTTACTCACACTACCATACGTTAATACGTTATCGTTAATTGTTGGTAAACGTTATCGTAAATTGTCTGCCGCGCCCGCAGTTCCCCTCGCCCCGCACCCCCCCCCCCTCAGAAGACCTGGGTTAGAACCCGCCTAGTATACCTACTGTTATCATTAATTGCGATAACGTATCAGACGATGATGTATTGTTGTAACCACGAGGGAAAAAGTTTGAAGGAGCATTTCAACGAATAACTCGGTTCAACTGAAATGCTTCCCCGTCGCGATGAGTAACGCACAAACGAACGGTAGAGATTCGTTCCCGCCGATGGATCATCGAAACATGCGAGTTCTCGGAAAGATCTGATTGAGGGGAAAAACAAGAAAGATCCATTCGCAAACGCGTTACGAAATAACCGACGAAAGATAAATATTTGCATGCAAGCTCGGACGCGAGTCTCGTCCGCAAACATTGTCTATCTTTCCAGCGAGCAATTTCAAGCGCAGCGCTGATTTGACGTCACGATCTGGCTACGTTCTGCGAAAATGACTTTAGTATTGATTTTAATTCTCCCTCCTTCCTTCCCCCCTCTCTTTCTCTTTCGTTTAGCAATTCGACGAAATTCATTATCGCGACTGCTTTTCTTACAAAGTTCTCTCTCTCTCTCTCTCTCTCTCTCTCTCTCTCTCTCTCTCTCTCTCTCTCTCTCTCTCTCTCTCGCTTTCCCTCTCCCGAATCGAATAGCCACTGGAAGCCGCGCAATTTCTTAAGAATATCAATGTTTTCGATTATCGCGACGAAACTTGGCACGCCGCATCGCAGCGCCGTTGGGCAACTAATTGGATAAGTCTGGTGGTCGGTTCCACTAAGTTCTAACCAATTTATGAATGCGGCAGTCAGACACGAGACTGCACTATACGCCATCGCGGACTCAAGGTGACGGAATGTTCTTGTTTCTCGAACTTTCCATCACTATCGACGATCCCGATATCCTTGCCTGCTGTCTCATCCCGCCGATGTCCTTTACTCCATGCCGACTTTTGCCCGCACACATCCTTGCACTCGCGATATCACTCGTTAATCTTTCAACTAGCCGCGATCTCGAGACCAATAATAAATAATCAACGTTTCAATATCCACGCGTGTCTAAAGAGAAACCTTTTACTTTTCGCCTCGTTCACCATTTTGCTGCCACTTTAACTTTTGCGATCAATGAATCACTTATTAATATCTTAATAAGTAACGCTTCATTGATCTATCTATTAATAGACTTAACAATAATTCTCTGCTTATGACTGAGTCATTGTTTTATCGTTCGATGTATTATATATGAGAAGAGATATCATTTCGAGAGAGATATTACTAATGAAATAATTTGAGATTCGTCATTTCTGCATATAGCAAAGACCGAGGCCCAAGGACCATGTTGACCATGCATTTCGTCCATGCACGGAAATTATGTTGTAAAAATTATATTTCTTTTTATAATGTTTCTTGTGAAGCTCTGAACCTAACTGAAATTCTAATATGAGTTACTATAGAAAAATAGTAAATTTGACGATTTACCCGATTTATACGATTTAAAAAGCATTCAAATAATTGCAATAATTTAGTAACAAATTTATTTAATAATAAATATTTAGTAATAATTTTTTGCAATTAATAAAAAATGTTAAACGTGCATAACATTTATCAACATATATATGGTGGTCTTGATTATAATTCTGTATTACAAAAATTTTGTGGAGATTTTTATAAAAATCTTTTGTTACGAAAATTTTGTGTTAATTTTTACTGCGATGTTTTCTCCGTGTGTATTGTAAAGGCGACAGTGGGGAGATCGTAAGATATCCTTCCAGAACATAGGAAAGGCACCCATGTCCTGAAAGGAGCATTTTGCCGTCTCTGTTCCACCGTCGCTCTCGCGATAAATACACGAATGAAATGTGTCGCCAACGGGACCGTTGGGCCGATTTGACCCGATCTCCTCCACACGCGCATCTACACGATTTTCGTTCGATTCAACTCAAAACTCCACCAACACGTTGCTTTCACTTGTAGTTGTCGCACAGCTCCAGCTTTGGCGCGCTGCGTTTAATTCAAACCGCTTTCAACTCCGCAGTCGATTTCCGATCGGCGCGAATCCGCTCGCCGGGGTAGGTGGAATCGACGTTTTGCATCGCTGGTGAATGCGCCGTAGATAGAAAAAAAGTCTTTGAGAAATTGTGACGCTCGCAGTGATACAACGCTTCATCGAAGCACAACGTCGTAGCTCGTGTTCGATCAAACAACTTAACGTTCCACTCGGCTGATCTTTATCCTCCTGTCGTTGCTGCATTTCATGCCGCGCCGAGTTTCGCGCACTCGCGCGACAAACTATATGAGTTTATACTGCACGGTCGTTATTGCGCTACGATAATGATGTTTTCACTTTACGAGTCGTTCCTCCATCATGAATGCAAGATTAATCGAAGCTTGATTAAAAAATAAAAGGAAAAGCAGAGAAAAAAGAAGCATTTTCGTCGTCTACGAAGATTTGCTTCTCGTCTCAACGAGCTTCCCGATACACCGTATGTAACGGGAGAATTATTAGTCTTTTAATAATTCCCAGAAGAGATAAATCTTCCTATCAGATGCCGGGCGTATTTTGAAGTGCATCGAGATAAGAGTGTCTCGCAAATGTGTTTCTTCCACTGAATGCTACGATATATTACGAGTTGCATACAGTTCAGCCTGTTGTTTTGCAACTCTGATAACGACAATTATAGCGGCGAGGCATGATATCTGATAATTTTCTGTGTAAGTGCATCTAAACGGTCTTTCACGAGCGAGCGGGGAGTTCTTCAATATTGAAATAGCAAGCATAGATGATGGCATAGAGCTTACTGTATTTACTCTTTGTAAAACTCCACTGACGTTAATTTCGCTTCTCGTGCTCGCACACTCGAGCTTTGATACGCTGTGCTTAATTCAAACCGCCGAGCAAATTAACGAGCGGCAAATAAGCCGCTCGGATTTAGACTTGCCCTCGCATTCTCGCGCGTCCCACCTCGTCCGAGGCCTCTCCTTTTCTTAAAAAAGCGTTCAATTTTGGAGCCACGCGGCCGGTTCACGCAGCGCGCAAGAGAGAATCGCTCTACAAAAGCGGACTATCGACACGGGACGGGATTCTAATTGAATTCCGGCATTGGCGCGCGTCTGCGGGATGAAAGCGTGTGCACAGAGACTCGGCGCGGAATCGGCCTAACTGTCGCAGTTGAAGTCCTCGGGGGAAATCTAGGATTTCCCTTCGACCCAATGTGTGTTTCTGCCCGATAGTTGACCCACCTTAGGAGCACGGCTTGCCGACCGTAGAATTGCTTCCGCGTCCGTTATCGATACGCTCACGCGACCTCTAATTATGGCGCCGCTTGTCCCGCGGCCATCGAGCACTCGTGTCCCTTCGAGGCGTTGCGCTAGGGCGGAATTCAATTCGAGGCTGTTAATCGTCGCGACACGCTTCGTTCGATACGCACGCATGCTCGAGTGTTTACACGGCGGCGCGACGCGCGCCACGACAGCTAATTAGACGAGGATGTAATCAGACTGCGTGTCGTTAATTTAATCATTCGCACCGCGGAAAGTAGACAGCCCGACATGCATCTAATCAATTTTGACGGGTTTCTCGCAGCCGGGAGCGTAGCCGAGAGCGCGAAACGACGCGCGCGACAGGATATCGCGAATGTTGGCGCCACTGACACGTTAGATCGACAGATCGCAAATGTGTAGCTTCGTATCGCGCGAAAAATAACGAAATTGCAGCTGATTGGTATAGACAAGCACGATTGGATTACAGAGTGATGTAAAACATAGAAGTTGCCGAAAAGAGGTATGTCCCGCCACTTTTTCTGTGATATCGTGTCCACGAGTTGTTTTTATTTTTTTTCTCTCGGATTACTCTTGCACTTTCTAATGCATCCAAAAAATATCTCGTTCTTGGCTTGGAATCCTAGAGGTATTTACTCTCATTTCATCACGGTCTCAAGAGGGTTCTTCTGAAATCAAAAGAGGAAAATATTCGAAGCACAATATTTTAAGGTCGGGGGAACTTGGTCGCGTATCTCATATTGAAAGACAGTCTGCTTCAAGTAAAGAAAGAAACAAAGAATGATATCAAATATGTTTTCGACTGCGTGATAGTTTACTTCATTCAGAGCAGAACTGATTTTGTGTCGGTAAAAGTTTTCGAATATGGGATTACAAGAAATATATATAGTACCTTGCAACTAGAATTTTTTATTGGGTGTTATCGGGTGTATCATATAATCAGTTCTACCATGAAATCCATTAATGTGTCAAATTTCTTCTGGTAGAACTGTCCAAGCGAGAGAGTTCAACGCATTGATTGCCCCGCGCTAATTTCCACTGATTGTACAAGAGCTGAGTTGACGATTGAATTACGAAAAATACGGTAAATTACTGTATCTCGACGTGCATGTATCTTTTACCTCGTTTCATCGGCTCTCTATTGAACGCGCGACTAGCTCTTTAGATGCCATTAATTGTGCTTTATACGTAACTCAACAAGGTAATGCCGGGTCATCGGTGACCATCGGCGGCGTTCAACGTGTTAAACGAGGGTCTGCGCACACACCAGTGCGACCTTTGTGAGATCTGTGTGGAGCACAGGACTTGTGACTAACGCGCAATTGTGCGTGGTACACTGTGCGGTCCGTGTGAAATACGGTCTTATCTGAAATCGAATCCATTGGAATTGACTCCATTCGTTTACTTTTGCGGATCTCGTTTAAGTGTAGCGTTTCGTTGTCGCGCTGGTAAATCAAGAGAGAAATAAGAGCATTCGTTAAGAGAGGTCCAATACGTACTAATTTGAAGGAAAGTGTGTTCTTTTTCTGCGAACACCAGCGAGACCGAGTCGGCTCGATAGTTCAGAGTCGTCAATAATACCGGCGACAAT